TAGGTGAAACCAGTCTTCATGAGAAAGTGACAAATCAGTGTTCACACAATGGCATAATAGCTGGGCATACAGTGTATGTCAACATCCCAAACTAAGCACCCATCATAGTTATTCCCAACTCGCAGGAAAGCTAGAAAAATTAGAAGGCTTAAAACATAATTATAAATGAAAATAACAAGAAACCAACGTTTCTGAGGAGCATTTGTTAGCCAAGCAAGGAATGCCATTAACCAATGCTGATTATATTGCATTTGATTACAGCAGCCAAAGATGTGTCCAGAGGAAGAGACTTTTAAAGATTAGTCTTTCGGTAAGAATGGTTGCTTAACAAGTTCACACTACTGGGCTACACCAATCATCAATTAAAAAGCAAGGCAAACTAGAGTGAGTCATTTTCCTTAATCCGTCAAAAATTACCACATTGGCCAAGCTGGTCTCCAACTCCTGACCTCAGGTGATCCGCCCACCCCGGCCTCCCAAAGCACTGGGATTACAGGCGTGAGCCACCACGCCTGGCTGAGAAGTGTTTGACAGAGGCTGAGGGGAGGCTCCTGTCCCTTCCTGGGACATCCACATCCCACCCACTTTCCCATATCGACTATGACACACGAAGCATCACAGCAAGGGCAGCTGCATCCCCGCAGTTTTCTGCACTAATGCCACAGCTGCGTGAGCAGCCATAGCCCTGGAGCTGCCACTCAGCCTTATCGTGCTGGCACAAGCACAGCAGAAGCTCCCAAGAGGGAGGAGTGGGGACCCAGGGGAGGGAACCAGGAGGGAGGAATGCGGCCCAGGAGAGTAGGGAGGAGTAAGGGCCCTGGGGAGTGAACTATGAGGGAGGAGTGGGGGCCCAGGGCAGTGAACCAGGAGGGAGGCGTGGGGGCCCAGGGCAGTGAACCAGGAGGGAGGCGTGGGGGCCCAGAGCAGTGAACCAGGAGGGAGGCGTGGGGGCCCAGGGCAGTGAACCAGGAGGGAGGAGTGGGCACACAGGATAGTGAAACAGGAGGGAGGAGGGTGGAGTTTGACCCAGGGAGTGAACCAGGAGGGAGGAGTGGGCACACAGGAGAGTGAAACAGGAGGGAGGAGGGTGGAGTTCGACCCAGGGAGTGAACCAGGAAGGAGGAGTGTGGTCCAGGGGAGTGAGCCAGGAAGGAGGAGGGAGGAATGCGGTCCGGGGAGTGAACCACGAGGGAGGAGTGCAGTCCATGGGAGTAGGGAGGACTACGATCCAGGGGAGTGAACAAGGAGCCTCTAGGGGTAGCAAGTTCACACACCCCAAATACCTCCCAATGCATCCGCGTGCAGGGAGGGGACGGAAACCACGCAGGACCTGCAGCGCTTTCTCCTCGCAGAAGAGGAGTGAGGATACCGACTCATGCATGAAATCAGAGCTAAAGTTCTACCACGGTGGGGAGACACTTCACAGACCCAAATGGGTGCAAAAAGAAACCAATCATACAAGATCAGTGGATGGAAAGGGATTAGAAATTTAAGCCTGTAACAAGCTTTCAGAAAAAACTTCACTTGATCTGCAAGATGACTGCAGCTCTGCTTGATCATTTCTGCAAATGTCTAACTCGCGATGAGCCATCTCAGAGCCGTTCGAGAGGAGTAACAAAATCAAAAC